TTGCATGGAAGGAAAATATCACAGATCTTAAATTGTACATCTTATTAATAAACTTTAAAAACTAAGTTTTGATAAAATTTCAACACATTTCTTTGCATCTACTTAGATTGTGCATGGGTATTAAACTTTAAGGTCACAATATTCCATTTCCTCAAATTCTGTATCCTATACACACTCATGCCCTTCCACTATCTGTATTTGTTCATGATTTGGAATGTAATATATCTTTTCACCATTGAAAATACACCTCATTCATCACCTTACATACATGTGTGTGCATAATACAACTCCTGGGATGCACACAAGCCTTTCATGTCTTCTTAAAAGTAAGAAAGATAAGCATGTGAATTAACATGACCCAAAGCAGCACTCTCTCTCTCTCTCTCTCTCTCTCTCTCTCTCTATATATATATATATATATATATATATATACATTTATATGTATATATATGGAGCTACATGTTCACATGAAAATAAAGTTCTCAGTATATCTCACTAAATGATTATCTAGATAGCCAACAATTATCCACAATTAAGCTTTATTTAATAATATGTCAAGATCTGATGATCAATCAGAAACTTGAAAATTAAGTTTAAAAGGATCTGTCACAGAGTATAATTAGTATTGATACAAAATTCTGTCCTAATCTTAACTCAATAGATTGCATACATAAGCTTATGCCTTCGTTTTTTATACTGTGTGGCAATGTTAGCCAATCTAATCAGTAGACCAGTACAAGAAATTTACAACAATCAAACCATCCCTTCCATTAGAAAATAACTGAAAAATTAGTGTGTTTGATCTATATAATTCACCAAAAGAATTAAAGGAAAGGCAAGTAATATTTCATTAGCAAATTTTTAAGAAACAATTCTGTGTGATCAAAATGCACATTGATTACCTGGACTTACATCTTTGCACAAAATGATTCTTGGGTAACAATTTCTGTGATATTTTCAAATGCATTTTTATTAATACTCTTGAGAATGCCATACATGCATATAATGTATTTTGATCTTAGTCATCTGTACATTCTCCCCCTACTTCCTCCTAAATATGGCACTATTCCTCCAAACTTTATGTCATTTTTTATAGAAATTAACCCACTGAGTCTAGTTGGCGCTTACCATACACTCATGAGTGTGGGGCCATCCATTTTAGCATGGCTGACTATTCCTGAACAAAAACTGACTCTTCCTCCTCCTCCCATGACTAGCCAACAACCGTCAATAGCTCCCCAGCTAAGAGGGGAGGGCTTTGCGTGCCCTTCTCTCTTCTATGCCAGAATATTGACTGGTTTTATCTTGGGCAGGACTTGGCATGCATCATAGCTAGTGTGAGTTTATAAATCAGATCTTTCATGTGCGGAAAACAATATTTCACAATACTACAGCCCTGGTCAAACTTCAGCTCTTACAGTCTTTCTGCTCCCTCTTCTAAAATGTTTCCTGAGCTTTGAGGGGAGAAGATACAGTACTAGTGTACCCATTAGGACTGAGCAATCCAACATCACTTACTCTCTGTGCTTTGACCACTTATGAGTTTCTGTGTTAACTTGCATCCACTTCAATAAGAATTCTCTAATGAGGTCTGAGAGCTTGACATAGAGATCTGAATTTAAAGGAAAGTTTGATATTAAGTCTATTTTGCAGAATAATGATAGATTGACCTCTGGGGTCTATGAACTCTCCAGACAGAAGTTCTTGGCCAGATTTACAATAGTAAGCTTGCCTTTCCTCCTGTGGAGTAGACATCAAATCAGGAAGCTGTTAGTTACCCTCAGAACATTTGTGCCACTACTGCACCCACAGGCATATCTTAAGACTGTAGCCTTTGTATTTACATGATAGATCACCAACCAACTAACAAAGTGTCAGATTCCTGATCATCCCCGCTCTCTATGAAGAGCGCGCGTGTGTGCGCACGCGCGCGCGCACACACACACACACCTCCTGTTTATTTTCTTGAGGCTATCTCAGCAGATAAATACCCAGTACTGTGTACACCTGGCTGTGTGTCAAATCAGACGCTCCCAAGACATTAAATGCTCTCTAAACCATCAATGGGGTGGCTAGTGAGCTGAGACTAGTCTCTGAACCCAATATCAGAGAAGAAATGATTTAAGTCTTGAATTAGCCAAAATAGTTTCGAACTGACAGATCTGATCAAAGCTCAGACTTAGAACACATAATCAAAGGAGGAAAGGGAAGAAGAGGAAAGCAATACAGAGGTTAGGGATTGTTAGATGCTATTACAGTTTAGACTTTGCCCTAGGACTTGGGAAAATACAAAAAGATGTTTCTAATTAGTGTCAGTGACCCACACGGCTCACTCTAGTGGGCGAGAATATTGAGTGCCTTCGCAGAGCAGTCTCTAGCACCAAGTGTAGTTTTAAATCAGTTGCATGTGAACCAACAGGATCGCAGAGAAACAGCTGCTTCAGAATCGGCCAGGAAAGACAAAGACTCCTGATACTCTACAGAGCAGGTAAATGATAACTCTTGAACCCAAATGATTTATTACATAGAATATCTACAAATTAGCCTGCTGATATTAAACCTATATAATATTAAACTAAAATATATTGTTTATCCTCAGCATCAATTTAAATCATATCAATTTTTGGCTTAGTTGTGAATTCAAGCTATGTTTTAGTAATGCCTTTAATAGTCAGGCAGAAATGACCTCTTGCCAGGCCTGGTGATGCCAGCAATGAGGGGTGGGGCAGAGGATGTATTTTCTGTCTTTGATTTAATGAGGGGCATTAACTTTTGGGATCTCCATAAACCTCCTATTCCCAAATCCTCAGAAAAACAATTGTTTCTAGTATTCAAAGGGAAATGTTTGAAACTATTGTTCTTAATATTCCATGTTCCCTACAAAAGGACATTTTACTCTCAAGTAAGTATCTGCCTTTCCATGGGACACAAGACATTCACCATGGCAACTGAGAGTGACCACATCACGACAAAGTTTAAGGAAGGATTTAGTATCCTCTCCATATTTAAATTGCCATTAGGAAAAATAAACAAAGAAGTCATTTTAATTAATTGGTATTTCTAATTGTCTATTCTAAGAGCCTATAATTGGGTGTTAGACATTTACATACCCAAGACATGTTTACATGCCTATGTTACATATATATTTAAAGTTAACAACTAATAATTTCTTGAGAAAAGACAAAAAATAAGTCATAATGGCTAAGGAAACATGTTTTTATTCTTCTCTCTGTTTTTGATTCTTATTTTTTGTCCATTAGATGGTATGCCCAAAGGAAAATAAAGCAATCACATTATTTGACTTAGTTGCTATTAAGTGGTAATTGACTAAAGATCTAACAGGGTAGATATTAAAACTCTCTCCTAAAATAGGGACAATTATATAAGTATTGTTTTCAGTTCAGTATACTATAATTGTGCCCTCAGCAATGTATCTACATAAGGCAAGAAAATTATGATTATGAAGAATATAATTGTATGTCATTATCTAAATTATACATGATTCAGCCCTGCTTCAGAATGTGGGTTCTTTATGGTTCTTATTTATGGTACACAAAAATTGTATGTTCACCTTGATCAATAGTTAAATTGGTAATAAATAAATTCTTAGCAGCAATTAGCCCAAAAGTCCAAAGGATATATACAAATACAACTTATCTATGGATGGGAGACAGGTAGACATGCGTAATGTTGGCAGTGCTGACTTCGAAGGTCAAAAGATACAGCTTGGTAAAAACCCAGGCAGGAAGTCTTTGTAGATATTTGATGCAGCGAAGGAGGCATTGTCAGAACATGAAAAGGGAACTTTTTGGCCACTTGGATGTGCACGGAGAAAAGCAAGAAGTGGAAATTACTCTGCAGTGGTCGGAACAAACACTAAGTTCAAGAATAAAGCTAATGCAACTGAATCCAAACAAAGCAACACAATAGGCACACTCTATACAAATAAAATTGGATTTCCAAACTGGGTTTTAAGACCATGCTACAAGCTATATGCTACATCAAGAGGTAAATGCTACCGATTCTTTACATTTTCAGAGAGCCCCATAAATTCTGCACAATGGGCTAAATTGATTCACAACATGACCTCCACAAAAGAAAAGCCGCCTTCAGGAAAAAGCTTTTCCCCAAACCTTGTAGAACTTAATGAAAATAACTACCTCCTTCCACATCAATCAGGACGTGGGTTAGGACTGCTCATTGTCTACAATGAACTTAATCCCAACGTTTAACACAGTAGAGATTTCAACTGAACCAAAGCTTTGGGCAAATTGTGCTCAGATGCCAGGCATCTGCGGTAACCTCAACACCATAGCTAATTTTGTAGCTTTTATTTCCACAAAGTCAGCCTTTGGCTTAAAAATAAGGAAGTGGTGACTACAGAACAAAAATGAAAATTGATATGTTATAGGGTAAAAGACTGGAATGCCAGGAAGTGTTGGGTTACACACAAAACTCGGTCTCTGCATACTGAGGCATACAAAACTGGTAGTTTCGATGGCCTATAATAGCCATAAGAAACTAAAATTCTAAAGTATTAAGAGATACAAAGTATGAATACCCTAAAAAAATCCAGTAATGTCAATGACACACCGTTTGTCCATGTCTTTTTCACAAAGGAAGAAAGAGGTAGGAGGCACTTCCCCTTGGCAGTAGCTTCAAGGGGGTTTAAAGCGACCTTGGAAAACAGAATGTTGTGACCCCTTGGACTCTTTTTATTCAGTGAACAGATGATTTTAGAACAACTCTTTGTTTCCTGACCAGTTTGAGTGCACTCTCACAGGACTGGCTGTGTCTAAACGTTAGGGCTGGTACAATAAATGAGAACTAATAAAACAGCCAAGTGTTCCACGTTCAAGTCAGTGAACCAAAGCAGCGCTTAGGATTCATGATACAGCTAAGTAGCTGGGTCCTGGAATGAACCAGAGACATTGCACTGCTGATGGGCTTGTGATTGTGGTAACTGCTAAGTGATAACACGATACTCTAACTGTCCTCAGGCTCGGTGGGACGGTTTGACTGGGCGTATCACCTTCAATAAGACCGATGGCTTGAGGAAGGATTTTGACCTGGACATTATCAGTCTCAAAGAGGAAGGAACTGAAAAGGTAATCCCCTTGATGATGAATAACATCACCAACGGATTCACTAAAGAAAGGGTACATTGTTTGTGCATTTTAGCTCAATGACACAGATAAGCGGGAGAATTATAAAACAACTTTGTTAGAATATTTTTAGCATCCAGCATTCTAGAACATTCTCTCATGTTGAAAGGTAGCCATGGATGAGATAGATTCTCAAATTATGTGCGGAACTAATAGCATTAACTAATATTCATCGATGCTTGATCTATAAAGCAAATGTGTATTTTTGTCTACATAACCTTATGCACTGGTGCCCTTATACATGTTTCTCAGAGATTTTATGAAGCTGAGCTTAGATTTGGAACTGTGGCAATTGCAGCTGGTTTAGCTATGGTAAAGCATCCAAGGGTTACTCAGAAATTAATTTTAGCTGAACTCTATTTTGAGATTGGTGACAGAGGGACAGAATAAAATAGTATAGAGAAGGCTTACTGGAGCAAATTAACATTGCATCCTTAATTTAGGACAAATGCTACAAAATTTCATTTTAATGCTGCATTCTCACTTTAGGATTATTTTAGCTAAAAATCGCCATTTCAAAGTTTTAAGTTTTATTTTAGTTATATTTAGATTAACACAAATGTAAACTGTTAAGCAATGATGATAAAAGAATTTGGTTTCTCAATATATTCCATGATTTCAACTTAGTATCTATGGTCACAAGTTTCAATCAGCATTTATAGTCTGAGAATTTGCCTTCAGAGCCTTAAAGAACAAAAGATGCTGAAAACTCAATGCTGTCACCTGGACATAGGAACCCCATAAACCAATACAGTTTCATATGACAGTGACTAACACACAAAACATGGTACTCAGTATAAAAAGAGTACTTTGAAACAACCTATTGCTTGTTTAATTTCAAGTAGTTGAGTTTATAAATTAAGGCATGGGAAGGTTCATGTCTGTTTCATTGTTTCCATTTACTGGGACACATTTTCCTCCCTTGGCAGATTCTGACTGCCTTCTCCCCTCACACTCCAGCCCCAAGCATCATTCACTGAAACAAAGATTAATTAGTCTGGATGTTGTAGAAGGCTCTCACGGGTATCGACATATTTAAGAAAAACAATTAGCTTGCAGTTTCGAGAGGACATGTATCTGTGGTTTCCCATTTCAAAAACACTGCTTACTCCCCTCTCCCTAGTTGGGTCTTCACTCTGTCTCCCTCTCCCTGGCTGAATCATCTTTACCCTGCTGTGTTCCTCTGCTGGTTTAACAGAGAACAAAGCATCTGCCTGCCCTCTGTAATTGTACTTTTGGACCAAAACGAACAGAAAAAAAAAATTGTTCACTATAACCTAAAGCTTGTTGTTATTTAAAGGAATTTATCTGTTTATCTAGGTTCACTCTTTTCTGCCTTTTTTGCCTTTTGTGGGGAAAGTAGTACTGTTAAGTAAATAATTTTTTTTTTGGTTCAGATAGGTGACGAACTAGCTGGAACTATTGTAATGTCTCCACAGCTGTCTATATACACAGCAATATTATGCACATTCTACTAGTGGTTTTCTATTAAAAGCGAAATCAAATTAGATGAAAGTATTTTCTATTTGTTTCTTACCTATTCAATGATTGCAATAACTTTTTTCTTCAGGTGACTTGGGCTCAGTTCGTGAGATTGCTGGTTGAGCCTTGAAGGCAGTGGGGGACGCTAACACATGTCCCTCGAGAGCCAAGGGAAGACATGTCCACACTTTCCATGCCAGCTTCTCTGGGCTCACAGACGAACCATTATCAAAAGTCCATCCATCGCTTGCACCCAACTTTCTACTGTCTGCAAACTCATAATCAAAGAATACATCATTCAGCATATTTCTGTGTAGCTTAGGGAGTGTTTGTGTTTGTGTATGTGTGTGTGTTTGTGTGTGTGTGTGTGTGTGTGTGTGTGTGTGAATGATTGACTGATGTTTTTATCCTGAATTCCTTCAACAACTCTCTTAAAGCATGATGAATATCTTTCAATTTTGCAATACCTGCAACATTCAAACAGGCTTCAATTTACTTTCTACTATTTGAAATGAGCACGCTATTCTGTGGTACCCAGCCTTCATTATCATTTCCTTGTTGTGTCTATTGTTGGTCTTTATATGAATTAAAATGCAAAATTCCAGCCAACAGGTGAGGAGTGTAATACACTCTGTATACTTCGTGGGTTCCATGCTGCATTTTAATTGAGTGTGTTTTTATTTTTCCCTCTGGAAACCAAGGCTGCTGGTGAAGTGCCTATGCACTTGTATAAAGTGTGGAAGAAGGTTTGTACCCTGAAAACAACAGCAGGACACTTGGGGATGGGGTGGCTGCACTGTGCCAGTCTTACCAAACCAGTAGCTTACAAACTGGAGATTAGGGGTGAGATTCCACAGATGTGGGGAGCAGGTTGTGTTTGCCCTTAGCATTACCAGGAATTGAGAGTAGACATTTGGTGGGTTAGTGAGTGATGGGTGGGTAAATATTCCCCGCTAGATTAGCTTTTCCGCTGGACAGAATCAGTGGCTGGGAAGACTGCAAGCAGGTAGCAGCAATGAACACAGCGGCCCATTTATAGACCTTCTCAAACCGAGGAATATTTCCCCTAAAATGAATGAAAACAATAGATTTGACCCACCAGATTAACAGTCAAGGCAAGGGTACTTCCTGCAATGTCACTACTGGAAAATGTGGGCCATTTTCAGAAGCTCCCCTTTCTTATACGTTGTCTTTGTTTTGTTAGAGTCTTGAAATGTATTTTAGGACTGGTTTCCAGAGGACAAATCATCAGAAGGCTTTTGAAGGGAAATGAGATTATCTTGTGGAAGTTTAGCACCCACTATTTCATAGTTTATTGTACAGGATCATGTTGCCAGCGACTGTGCATAGATTTGCATAAGCAGATGTGAGACCCAGGAAGATTCCCAGGGAGAAAATGCCCCAGTGACAGCAAATGTTACCTTGTCTCCATTCTTGCTCCTCACTCCCACCTCTTTTCCTTCCCCTCTATCACTCTATTTAAAACCAGTCACTACAATTGTGCTTGACTGACGGGTGGACTGTCAGACTCCCTTCTGCCTCTCAGATGATTGGCTGAGTCACAGGCAGTTTAAACAGCTTCTACCAGTACCCAAACGTCTCATCATTCCCTTGGTGGGAATCATCAGATGATCTCAGAAATGCCTTTTAAGTAGTAAAAGTCGCAAGCTTAATAAACCGTTTTATTGATGAACCAAGTTTCCAAAGACCCACCAGAGGTGAACCAGTTTCCCCACTGGTAGGAAATAGATGGTTCTACCCCACCGTTCTGAAAGCAGCTTATTGCTTGAGACTTCTGGCACTTTAGACCAGGCTGAATTAATTTAAACTAAATACTCTGGGGGATAGAGTCTAGTCTCTGAAATTAAACTCGAGGGAGAAGGACAGGCCTGCAGGCACCACAACACTGTGGCATGCGCATCCACATTAACAACTTGGCCTTGCTAGCCCATGACTTTCTTCCTCGCCGCTGCGAACCCTGCACTACTCCCATTATCAGCTGAATAGGTCACAGTTCATCTACTATTCTCAGTAATGGTACTCCAGCCCAGGGACTCAGTCAAACCCAACAGACACATTGTACTTCCCTAAGCAGATTCTGTCTTTAAGAGAAGAGTTCACTCCAGCATAGGCATAGCCCAGGACTTTATTTAAAACACCAAATAGATCACCTGAAATTCTTTGCAAGCGAGGGAGAGAGTAATCTTTGCAAGACACCCCTGCACTAAGGAGTCTCAAGATGCAGAAAACAGAAACACCTTTACATTTGTTTTTCTTACATGCCTGGTTATTTCATTCAGCCATTTTAGAATCTTTTTTGCTGGTGACTCTGGCCTTGGAAAATAGGCCATAATGGTCTCCTAAATACCCTGCTTCACTTGTTAAAAGTTGGCTCAATATTCCCTGGACATTTATTCACACATACTTCTCAAATATCAAATGACTACTTCCTCATGCCAATTTAGACAATAAGAGAAGGCAGACTAGACAATTTGAGTATTCCTCCCCACATGTAAGAGATCCACATCCATGGCTTCCCAGCAGTGAATTACTGTTGTTAGCTTTTGCTTCACAGTCTGAAAATTGAAGAGCTGCCGCAGAGGCACTCCTCCCTGGTTGCAGAGCATGGCCGCAAGGCCAGCATCTGGGCATCTGGTTAACTGCACAGCCCTGTCCAGCATGCATGCACCATCACATCCCAGAGTCCCACCTCATCAGAGACCTTGGCTTGCTGACAACCTGTCCATTTATTTCAATTAAGAGACAGATCCAGTACAACTGCTCACCCTTGCCTTGATTCTCATACTGGGATGGTTGAATTTAATGATTCCTCCGCAGTACAGCTAGCAGGAAAGTCATCTCCTTTTTCTCATTTTGCAGAGGCAGAACTGTGCTCTTGGGGCTGTGAGAGGTTGTCAGGTAGCCAGTGGCAGGACAGTAGCAATGGTCTCTTAGGGTTCCACTTACCACTCTGCCTCTGCTGGGAAAAGGAAGATGAGTCGGAGGCCAAGTGGGAGAGGGTATTTGTTGAAAGTGTGAAGTTTTATTTTAGAAAAGAATATTAAAGCATCATTTAATAATGCCATTTTTGAAGACGGAAGATGTCACTTAAACACATACTTAACAATATTAATGAGAATAAGAGTTAAAAATGCATTCTGAATTTAAGAGTGGCTAAAGACACAAGCCTGTTCTCTAATACTTAATTAGAAGCTGAAGTCTCTTCTTCTCAGTGCCTATGTCAATGTTTAATTGAAATTTTTCACAGACCCACCTTACACATAGTTTTCTCATGCAACACAACCTAAAGTATAGCTTAGGATAAGAATGAGCAGACAACCCATTGATCTTGGTGTGTGTTTCCTAAAAGCCAAGGTTCTTCCTCAAAAACATTGAAGGAGAAAAAGTTGAAAAGATTGTGTCCAATTTCCCAAGACAATGGCTCACAAAAGGAGACAGACATTCTCCCATTAGCAGATAGAATATCTACCACAACACAAGAGGCCCTGAAAGTACTGGACAGTTCCCGAGGATGCAGGCTCATACCCCATAGTACTCCTAATATCCACTCCGTAGACAGCTGCTACACCTTGTGCGCCACTCAACTCCATCAGCCTCTTCATCTCTCCAACAAATTAGCCCTGATTCGTATGGAGGAGAGAGGTTGAAATAGTTTCTAGTTATGTGTGGATGTGTTGTAGTTCTTAGAATTTTCTCAATGAATTTATAGCTCTAAACTGATACCTACAAGCTGATGATGCTAAGGAAATCAACCAATGCAAAGAAAGCAAAGGTAGAAGGGACCTAGCCTGCTCACATGGGAAAATTGATTAATTATGAAAAAAAAGGAAAGCCCTTTTAGACTAGAGAGATACCTTGGTGATTGAGAGCATGCTCTGCTCTTCTAGAGGACTGGGGTTCTATTCCCAGCACCCACATCAAATTGCTCGAAACTGCCTGTAACTCCAGCATGAGGGAATCTGACTCCCTCTTCTGGCTCCAAAGGGCACCCTCCCCGCCACACAGCATACATCCAGAAAGTATGCACACATACACACAAATAAAAATAATTCTTTAAAAAGTTTAAAAGCACTTTCCTCTCCATTTTGCTGGTATGAAAATTGAGACACATAAGGCCTAATCTACCACCCAAAATCACATACCTGGCTAACTGCAAAGTCAAGATCTAAACAAAAGTCTCTCTGCCCAGCCCACACTCTACTGAGCTGTGTGTCCCCTTGTAGAAGGAAGCCTATTCCCATACTGAGGGAAGATATGCAGGTATCAAGCACAGATCTCCCCTATCTGTGTTAACTTGTCCAGATGTTAGAGTCATAGATGCCTCCTGGTTTTCATGGCTCATTTCCTTTCACGTTTTCTAAATTACAAAGGAAAAAAAAACTAGCAATACCAAATTATTTTCCAAGGTGAGCTTAAAGAAATTTCTGTGAAAGCCATTTACATGACTTGTACTATTATTCGTGCAGCTCTTACCAGACAAGAGTACTTCCACCTTTACCGCCTCATTAGATCTTCTCACCATCCCTATAGCATAGAGAGCAGGATCCCAGAAAGGTTAGCATCCTATCACACAGTCACTGCCTGGCTATTTCCCCTTGATAGCCAATCACATTCCTTGTCCTGAGGCTGACAGTGGGTGTGCACAGAACTGGGCCAAATAGCTCAATTTTTATAGTTCTTTCCTAGGTCATCTCAGATGCTAAATAAATCAATGAATGGGTGGAGTGTCCTGTACCAGAATTGCATGAGCAAAGTCTGGATTTTACTTTTAATTTTGAGATATTTTCATCAGCAAGGAAGCTCTCTCAAGATTCAAGTCTCAAGTAGAGATTGGGTGATGTTTCATATACTGATTAAAGAACTGGAAAGTTAGATTCCATCTTGTACTATTGTTTTGTGTTAGCATGCAGAAAATGGATTTCAGGATAATATTTTCATACATGCATACAAGTGCACTTTCTTCTCATCTCTTCTTGTCTTATGGTCCCACTAGTTCCTTACCTCTCCCTAAAGCATCTTTGTTTTCATGTCATATCTGTGCAAAATTTCAAACACACCCTGCACAGATAGTTGGAAGATATCTTTTATTATTTTTTTATTTATTCTTCTCTCATGCAATGCATGCCAACCAAAGTCTCACTCTCTCCACTCCTCCCACTTCCTTTCTCCCCTCCCCTATATTCACCTCATCCCATGTCCCTGAAGAAAAAAACAACAGGCTTCCCACAGGCATCAGTGGAATATGGCACAAGTTACAATCAGACTAGGCGCAAACCCCCACATCAATGCTGGCCAAAGGCAACCCTGTAGAAGAAAAAGGGTCCCAAGAGCAGGCAAGGGTCAAAGATGCCTCTACTCCCACTGTTAGGAGGTCCCATAAAAATACCAGGTTAACAACTATAGCATATATGCAGAGGACTTAGTGCAGACCCATGCAGGCTCAGTGGTTTCTGCTTCAGTCTCTGTGAGCCCCCGTAAGCCCCGCTTAGCTGATTCTGTAGGCCGTGTTCTCTGGCTATCCTCCTCCTCTGTGGCTCCCACTATTTCGCCTCTCCTCTTCTGGAGGTTTAGTTTTTCAGTGCCTCTGTTTTGACTCTGACACATCTTCGAGGTCAGGTGATGCTGGACAACCTTGGATTTGGGCATCAGGAATGATCCACATGTATCTTATAGGACCTAACACAGTAGCAGCGATCAGGCCACTGGAAAAACTAGAGGACATCATTCTTTGGGTCATGGAGCCTATTGAATGTCAATAATCACCACTGGCTCTCTGATACTGAAAATAAGAGTCGATGACAAGGATTTCCTTACTGGAAGAGCTCATGGTGAAGTGGACACAAACAGATAAGCAAGTAATAATGAGAAAGACATGAGGAGCTCAGACAGAGGCGCACCCTGGGTCATGAAAGACATGCGGTGCTCAGACAGAGGCATGCCCTGAGTCATGAAAGACATGAGGAGCTCAGACAGAGGTGCGCCCTGGGTCATGAAAGACATGCGGTGCTTAGACAGAGGAGTGCCCTGGGTCTTATTGGGATTCTTAAGAACCTCCCTCAGCATTGGCTCCTCAGTAAGGTTGGGTCCTGAGTTTTGTCAACCTCTTGTCTGTGTAGATTCTCTCATCTGTCTTTCCTTTTCCAATTCCACGTCCCTCCACCCCCCATCCTGCTCTTTCCATCCCAGTAACCACACATTTTAAATTAGCAGGTGTTAGGGTGGTGGCATGTTGTTTGAGGCCAGCAGAAAGTCGCAAGAGTGCTTGTCTGTGACTATGTACTGTGTCTTCCAGTGCCTACAGTTGGGCTTGACATGGTCAGAGGTGCTCAATGAACACACTATAGAGGGAAAATCTGATAGTCATTTACTCCTATTTTTTTAATTTGAAAAATAGCAATGAGCTTAATAGTTAAAAGTAAAAATTCCAAGTCATTGTAGTGACACACAGCTTTAATCCCAAGACTCGTGAGACAGAGGAGGTGGATCTCTGAGTTTAAGGCCAGCCTTGGTCTACAAAGGAAAGTCTTTGTCTCAAGGAGAAACCCTGCCGAATAACCAAAAATTAATTAATTAATTGAAAATAAAATAAAATGCCTCCTGCACCTGCCTTAAATGGCCTATTTTTTCTGATTCTGTCTCCACCCTCATTTTTCTATTATGTTACTTTTCTATATGAAGCAACCTCCACTGTAATGCCCTGGTGCCCCAGGACACAAGCCTGGGTTCCCATTCCTGGTGTAGTGGGCCCTTTGTTTTAACATAAGTGCTATTATGGGCAACTGGCAGCCCCTGATACCCTGTGTTCTGTGCAGATTGGAATTTGGAACTCCTACAGTGGGCTGAACATGACGGATGGCAACAAAGACAGGTCCAACAACATCACTGATTCTCTGGCCAACCGGACACTCATTGTCACCACCATTCTGGTAAGCTGTGAAGTCCAGGCTTTTATCTACACGCCCACACTCGACCTAAAAGGATCCTTCCACTGTCTTTTTCAGGCTGGCATTTCTGTCTGCATATCTCTATTTTTTAAACTGGGGAACTAAAAGCATGCATTTGTACGTGCTTAAAGGAATGAAATAAGCTCTCAAAACCTCTCTACAGCTCTACAGACTGTTCATCTCTCTGGAACCCAGCTCCATTCTCACCTCTCTCTGCCCCAACCTGGGGCTCTTTCTTGTTCTCTGCCTGCTGATTTGCTGGATGGTTTTAACCAAGAGGAGATTCTAGCCACAGATCAGGGAAGTGGCATGGGTGTAGGAGGAGCAGAGATATCATTTTCTGTGACCTCTCTGTGCTATCGATCATTTTTCCCATGTCTTCCCATAAGCATATTTCCTGCATTGTCCTTCCCCTGCACCCAGGTTCCAGCTTCTCTGGACTGCAGCAACACTCCCATCTCCTCTTTGTCTCTGCCCTGGAATTCTCTGGTTTCCTGGCCTAATAGGTCCCTGAATAACACGTTGCATTTCCATTTTTACTCTCCCATCCAATGGCTCCTCTCCTTTGCCTCGTAGCTCTGGAAATAACCCTTGTATTTACTGATCTTCAAAAGACTTGTGTCCCATTGCAATCCTGATCTCATGCCCAGCTAGCCACTGGGCACAAGCCAGCAGTTTTTCTCTTTATTTTCCCAAATAACCTAGGTGGGCATAATCTACTCTGAACTTGGTAATTGAAGGCACACTTTGCTTTTTTTCAGTCCTTAGTATTAGGGCAATTTATCTTTGAAGTTGCCTTGTGAGATTTGTTTATCAAAAGTAGATCTGGTTTTATGCTGTTGCTGTTTTGTTTTGTTTTCTTCTGGACGTTACTTTTGCTGCTACCATATTATAATAGGGTTTTGTGGGGAGGGCGTTTTGTTGTTTTGTTTTGAAAAAGTTCAGTGTGTAGAACTGACTGGCCTGGACCTCCCCTATGTTGCCACTCTGGGTAAGAATTTTCTATTGTATTTTCATGACCCAACTGTCAGTTTACTTGATGAGAAACCTAAACACACAGGGCACCTATCTCACCAGTAGAGGAGTTTTTATAATTTTGTAAAACAAAACAAACTTTTATTTACTCAAGTGAGAATTAGTAAGTTTACAGATGCATAGAAGGAAGACGGAAATTACTCAAAAGATAAGGGATTTATCACGCAAGCATCTTAGGGAAGCATTATCAGATTTGAGGTACAAGAGGGAAGTCTGGAGACAGCCAACCGATGTAAGGAGAAAGAAAGACTGAAATTGGAATAAAGTTAAGATCAAAAATTAGAATATTTGATATATACGGCGTTTCAAAAATGGAAGAATTGTATTTGCTGGTCCTCATTTCTCCCTTAAGAAAGGGAGACACTTTAAGTAGACACTCCTAGGTCAAAGCCTAAGTGGAGTTCTGCAAAGGAAGCCTGAATGTGCTCATGCCTAGAAGGGGCGTGTAGGGCCCTAGTGTCCTCCAAGCCTTTCCATCTTCCCAGGTTCAGCATTTGAACAGCACTGTGTCACTGTTGCACCACACATTAAACATGCATGCTCTACAATGGTGCAAGGGAAAGCTCCCATCTGCAGGGAGAAAGAAAGGAAAGAAAGAAAACACATATATGAAGGCTTCTAAGCAGCGGCAGACAAAAAGAGTAGCAGAAACGGGAACGTAAGTAACCACCTTTAATACCTTCCACTCTTAAAAGCCAACTTCAAATGTTGTGTATCTTCAGGCTACTGATGAAACACGTTCCTTTTCATTATAATGGAGCTTTCATACCTGGTTTGTTTCACTCAGGAAGAGCCCTATGTGATGTACAGGAAATCCGATAAGCCCCTCTATGGAAACGACAGATTTGAAGGATATTGCCTGGATCTACTAAAAGAATTGTCAAATATCCTGGGTTTCCTTTATGATGTTAAACTAGTTCCCGACGGCAAATATGGAGCCCAAAATGACAAAGGAGAGTGGAATGGGATGGTTAAAGAACTCATCGATCACGTAAGCAAAACTACACCTGATTGCTTAAAAAACATGCCCTAAGTGAGAAAGTAAGAGGAGAAAAAATAGCTTATTCAAAAATAATAATAATAACTTGATATCAAAGTCTTGAAGAACAACTCTAGTGTCCCGTGTTTTTCGCCACCTGCACACAAAATTTACAAAGGAAAACGAAACAATCAAGATATAAAGTTTCCTCAGTTTGGAAGGATGTGGGAAAATAAAAGTTGAAGATTAAAATGTAAACATTCACCCTTGATGCCAAGGGATAAGCTTGAGAGGTTTCTAATTAAATCAAGGATTCTAGGACGTGGGACTCAGAGAAAAATCTCATCTTGTCAACGTATACATGATCAAGTTGTTTATTCCTTCCTTTTCTGAAATGCCCTTGATAAAGACATCGTCATGCAAGTTTAATTTAAAATGACCTCTCTCTGGAGTGAGGGGGGAGGAACTTGGACTTCCCACAGGGCAGGAGACCCTGACTTCCCTTGGGGACAAAGAGGGAGGAGGAGAGGGAGGGGGGGAGTGGGAGGGCGTTGGGAGGAGGGGCGTAAATGGAAACTTTTTATAATTTAATAAAATTACAAAAAAAAAATAAAAAAAATAAAATGACCTCTCTCTCCCTCTCTCCCACTCTCTCTCCCCTTCTCTCTCTCTCCCCTTCTCTCTCTCTCTCTCTCTCTCTCTCTCTCTCTCTCTCTTTCTGTGTGTGTCTGTGTCTGTGTGTGTGTCTGTGTATGTGTGTGTCTGTGTGTGTGTACCTTACCCCAATCCACATTTCTCCATATTTTCTGGTTTGTCTTTGACAATAAACACTGCAGTATAACTAAGATTAGCTTCTTGCATGACAAGCATTTATAGTTGAGATTAGGAAGCAGAGACAGTGAGGGAAAGTCTAGCTATCTGCAGAGAAAGAAGGCAGTCCTGCTGACAGTTCTGCACCTGTTTTTACAGAGAGCTGATCTCGCAGTGGCCCCTCTCACCATCACTTATGTAAGGGAGAAAGTCATAGACTTCTCCAAGCCCTTCATGACCTTGGGCATTAGCATCCTTTACCGGAAGCCCAATGGAACCAACCCGGGCGTCTTCTCCTTCCTCAACCCCCTGTCTCCGGACATTTGGATGTATGTGCTGCTGGCCTGCTTAGGAGTCAGTTGTGTGCTCTTTGTGATTGCCAGGTAAGCTTGAGCGTACTGAGTTCACGACAGTGGTCTGTCAGCCACAGACTTCAGAAAGCCCTGGTTTAAAGTACAATTTTACCTCTGCTCATTGCTGCATTTTCTCAAGGTTTCCATGTACAGCTATTGTGTGCATCGAAAGCTAATTATCCATAGAAAAATTTTTAAAGAAACAGGAAAGTCCTTTATATTAATTTGACTTTTTCCATATTTCAATTCACATAAAATCACTATTTATTCTATTTTCTGAGAAATGCAGAATAAAAAAAACAATGGCACATCTGGGATAGCTAAAGCATTATTAAAATAAAATAAAATGATTTAAAAATATTTGGTTCCTGAAATAATTAAATAAGTCAAAGAGAAAAACCAGTTAGCTAAGAATCACCATAGCAAATAAAAAACATGCAAAGACTGAAAAATTGAAAGATACTGAAATCCTTAAGGATCTACCTTGAAAATTTGTGAGGTTATTCTTTAAAATCATTTTAAGGTTAATAAGAAAATCATAGAAGTAACACTAAAAACACATATAGATTTTGGAGTATTGATTGATTGATTGATTGATTGATTTTGTACTGGGGATAAACTATAGATCCTTACGTATGCTTAGCAAGCCCTATACTACTTAGCTACATTCTTAAGCCATTATAAAAATTTTATAATACTCAACAAGTGTTTTATTTTAAGCTTTATCTTTCAAGATTAAATTCTGCCCTCTATATGTTACCATTATTCTTTACACAATTCTTCCAAAGTGTTTTATCTCACTCAGTAGACCATACATTGAAAAGCCTTTGATCCTGAATTTGAAAGTGCTATTTTATTTACCTCTTCTTCTTAAACTTTTGATAGTCCTAGATAAACCTTTTGGGAAATTATTTTTAATCAAGTCCTTGTTTTCAATCATTTTCACATTTCAACAAAGGTTAATAATAAATATTTCCCCTAATCAATTTTTGTCTTCTCTCCATGAATTTATAAGAGAAATATCTCCTCATGGCAGCACTCTGTCATTGCTCACTGTGCAGTTTTGATTCATGACTGGTAACTTTTCACCCAGCATAATTACAAAAGAATGCTTGGGGAAATAACCCAAGCAGCGAACGTGCTAAAGACCCAGAAGACCGACAGAGTCAAGCCAAACAAGTGACTTCTGGGGACATTCAAGCTTTCAATGGGGACAAAGTCTGGGAGTTTTCAAAATCTTCTAAAATGTGCCATTTCCAAATCTCAAATTTTATGTTTTTTGAAATAGTGATCAAAATTCTCTTTACACACACACACACACACACACACACACACACACGAATTACCAACTTCAAAATGCCTATCATATCAAGGTCAAGAAATCATGCTCAAGATAATTTAAAAAAATATTTCTTGAAAATAGTTTTAGTAAGTTATTGACCTTTAGAGAATCGTCTCAGTTCCTAGGGGAAGTTCTTATTACCCTGGGGTAGTTATGTTCTAATGAAGTACCCTGTCACAAAAAGCACATCGCATGGTGCTGAATTGTGGCATTTCTTTGCCTGAGATCTACCCCTAACTAAGCAACAAAAGGGGCAGAAGGCAATAAAAATGTGAGTCCTCATATCCTGAGTCCAGGGTTTCTTCGAACATTAATGCTCACAAATGAAGCAATGGAGGTACCACTAAAGGACAGGCACAATACTTACTATAGCGAAGCTGGCCAAAGCCGGGAGGAAAGGAGTGACAGCCCAGGCCAGAAGCCCTGAGAAGCACACAATGGAGGGGTCCTTCTGGGCTGCATCCCAGCTGAATTCAGTACCATAGGGATGGAACCCAGTTAGTCTAGTCATCATCCTTTGCCCTGGAACAGCTTTGGAGTCTGAATTGTGAAGTACATCCTTCTATGTTTTTTAAATGAAAAATTAAAGCCAAATATGGCATTTAAGCAAACACCTTCACACAAACTGGACCCCCAAAAGTCATTGACTTTATAAAGTTATTAAGCATTAGTGGAAGAAGTGAAGGAAAACCTAATAAAATGCTAGCTAAGCGTGGCTGCTCACAATTTGTATGTTAGGGTTTTGGTTTGGTAGTTGAGTTTCTAAAAATATTTAGCCCCAAAGGATTTAGGTCCACAATGTTCATGATGACCACAGGACTGAAATGAGCCAAACTTCTAAGCAGGGCTTGCTTAAATTAGTGAGTGACATTTGTCTTACTAAAGCGAAGCTCTTAAAGTTGGCATTTAGCAAAAAGTAAAAATAGGGAAAAAAATGGTCCCTTGGAAGCAGATTCTAAGGTTACAGTACAAACTCAGGGGTTGTATAACAATTTCAAACAGATCTTTCTCTATTGAAACAGATGGATCTTTTTATCTTCAAAGCAACCAGTGTCTATCAACAATAAGAAACAGACATTCCCCTCAACCTGGAGACTTCAGAGCAAGGAATATTTCACAACTTTTCACTTAGTGTAAACTTAACGTGTATAAGCCCTAACCCAATGCAAAGGTTTACATGTATAAATCCAGTAGATTGACTATGATGTTTTGCAGTATCTGTTTTGTTTCGAAACAAGGAAGGAGTTTCTTTGCAATTCAGGCTGTTCTTGAACTTTCTATGGACACAATCTGATCTCACATTGGAAGTAGCCCTCTTGTCTTAGTCTCCCAAATGCTAGAATTACAGGCAACACCACCACGCCCATGAAAAACTATTATACATGCAAGTTTTGACATAGATTATAAGCACATTTGTCCATGACTGTTACTGACAGTCAGTACTGACTTATTGAATGTCATATATGAAAATGGTCATTCTTGCCGACCATGTGTTGGATTTTTCCTGTAGACCTCCTGGTACTGACATGCTATATTACAGTGACCATATTAAGCAGACTTTAGGATTCTCAAACTGAAATATCTGCACCTAAACAACAGCTGTGTCTTTCTACCCTGTAAAATGCCAGTGTGTTACAGCACAGCCTTGTCTCATTGTTCAGTATTCCCCAGTTCACATGCTTCCCAGGTCACTTAGAACCCTGGAGAGAAAGAACTAGCAGCTTCCTGAAGAGATGAGAAGTGTGCTGATGCTTAGATAGTTTCCCTCTGCTCCACAGAAAAACCAGTTAATTGCTTACAAGTGTTAGAGTATTTTAACATTTATCTATTTATACAGGGAAAAATTTAAAAGCAGCATTCCAAGGACACGTGCTCACAGATCAGCATGCATTTAGTGGGTAAACAACAGAATATCGGGGTAGTGGTTGCCAGACTTTATGGTCTATTTGAAAAGCCTGTACTCTTGAATGTATAATCTTCCTAATTTATTGCAATTAATATGTTAAAATTATTATACAAGGGACAATGATATTGTTTAAGTAACAGCATCTTTAGTCTGCACGCTGTTCCAATTATTAGGTTCATTAATATCAGTATTCATTCTTTCAGCTGAGCAAACTACTATGGTTATAAGAGTGTATAAATCCAAAACTTAATTATACTGTTGCAACAGTAATTAAAATGTATTGGCATGCACTGTCAATTAAAGCTATGTTCATAAGATTACAGGAATGTGCATGGCGTGCCCTCCAGCTTGGGAAAGGCCACAGGAGAGAGTTGGAGGATGTACGGTGCAATAAATGACCAGGCTGCTATCCTAATGCCCCTAAGACTCTGTGAGAAAACACACACACTTTGCAGAAGATGTCCAGGATCTTAAAGAACATTTTTCATGAAGAGAAACTATCTTCCCAGTTCGTTGGACACGATTCACAGCGTGTCCTGCTTTTCACTGTAGATAATATACTCTTGTTAAGCCCAGTTCTCCCTGCTGCACCTGCATCCAGCTATTGTTTACAGCTGAAGCCTAACGGCTTGGAGAGCAACCGTGTGTTCTCATTGGCATTAGGGTATTTTAACATTACTCTAACAATCCTTTTTGCCTTAAAAGGGCCCGGCAGCAAATGGCAAAGCTTCCAGTGCTATGAATTATTGCATTTTAAATTATTACAGATTGCTTTGCAGAACATCTGGCAATGTTTTAAAAACACACACACCTTGCTAGTGTAGTTCCCTAAGACCCCTAGAGTAGGCACCTCTTCTGGACTGCACAGGTCAGAAAGATTCTTAGAGAAACAGAAAGGACTGAACTTGTAATCAGTTCCCCGGATTATTATTTTAAATGTTGCTTCTAGACATCTTGATTTCCCCATTTTATAAAGAGGCAAACTGAAGCCAGATGAGTCAAGTCAAATCCTTTGTGTAGATTTCCTGGGTGATTCATCGAATTTTGAGAAACTTACGGGTCATGGCCTCTTGCAGGCCAAACGATAATAATACCACAGAAAACACTTCACACCTAACCAGAGTTGGTGATTGCATGACTGTGGGGCATAATTCAGAAAATATTCAATTAAAAATAAATCGAGAGGAAAGCACGAGTTTCTAATTTCCCACTCTGAGCCTTGAAGTTAACGCTAGTATACTATATTGGTATACATAGTATATACCTATACCTGGGCTGTGCTCCTTCCAGTTTAAACTTTGTCTTTTCACTGAAGGACCGAGACTTGTATTTCTATATAGTATCTTTGAAATAAGTGATATTCTCCCAAATTCAGTCCTTCTTTTTTGTTCATGTTTTCTTTAATTCTGCATCATTTGGGAAATGTTATACTCTGTATAGGGTGTGTCCGTGGAACCATAATGTCCTTGGAGGGCACACGACCCTCACAGCCTAGCAATGTAACAGCCCAGCCAAGTAATCATTATGTATTCCATGCCACCCTTGTTGAGCCCTGCTAGAGTCAAAACCTGAGATGCGGGAGCTTTTCTTCTCTTGTGTGTGTGTGTGTGTGGTGGGGGGTTTCTCAAGACAGGGTTTCTCTGTAGCTTTGGGACCCTTCCTGGAATTCGCTCTTGTAGACCAGGCTGGCCTCGAACTCACAGAGATCTGACTGCCTCTGCCTCCTGAGTGCTGGGATTGAAGCCATGTGTTACCACTGCCCAGCTGTGGGAGCTTTCCTTTATAGTTATCCCAGTTACTCAGTAAAATGGAAGTCAATGAAAACTCAGAATTTCATAATTCAGTAGGCACAGGTCTGAGGAGTGCCATCCTAGACACAACGGGTTTGACCCTGAGACAAGAAGCTGGTGACTATTTGCCCAAGGAATTTTGCATTTAGTTCAGTAGGGCTGGAAGTATCTGCAGTCTTCACTCCTCCTGCTTCCGCTCAGTTGTGGAGTGTTCTCCCCTGCTCAGCAGGTTTTGCTCTGCGTCTTGTGTGTACCTGATCTTCACAAACTGTTTCTGTTAATTATCACAGGTTTACACCCTACGAATGGTATAATCCCCACCCGTGCAACCCCGACTCAGACGTGGTGGAAAACAATTTCACTTTGCTAAATAGTTTCTGGTTTGGAGTTGGAGCTCTCATGCAGCAAGGTACACCGGTTACCCGCTTTGTCACTTGCATCCCACAGTCTGCTGACGAGTTTTCATGCTGGTAAACTCCACCATGAAACTAGATGGTAGGACGAAACTTCCTTGGATATAAGACGATAGACATATTCTTTCTAGTCAGTTATCAAGACGAAGGCAGAAATAGGGTCTTAAATGGAGCTTCCTTGCTATGTATCTAAAAAGCATTTTTTTCCAAGAACAGACTTATATTTTCTTGCAAGTAGTGAAGATTAAGAAACCTGTATTAGTTATTTTCTCGCTGATGTAATCAGAGAGCAGATTAAAAGTGATTTAAGGGATTAAAGGGTCTGTAATGACTTATAATTAAGAGTGCAGTCCATCAGGTGTGGGAAGCATGGCAGCAGGTGCTTCGGGCATCTGTCACATGGTATCTGCAGTCAGGAAACAGAGACCAGTGAAGACTGTGCCCTGACCATCTTGTCCATATGGATTACTTTTTTCTTTTCATTAAGTCTACAGCCCAACCTATAGGAAGGTGCTTCTTACATTCAAGGTCTCCCCTCCTCAACCAAACCTCTCTGGAACATCTCCGTAGACATCTTAAGAGATGTGTCTCCAAGGTGACTCAAAACCGTGTCAAGTTAACAGTGATGGTTATCCATCACAAAACCTTAGACTTTAAAAAAGTAAAATAAATACATTTCCGTAGATAGACATGACCATCTTTTTCTTCCTCGTAATAAAGTCACAAGTCAGAGGTTTAAATGGAATGGAATTTAACCCCCTTGAAGTCTGAATTCACTTGGATTCTTCCAATTGTTAACAGGACCTAGAACTGCACCTAATTACCACTCTGAGAAACTCTACAGAGATTCACCTTAGCCACCCAATAACTTTTTACAATCTTCTTCAACTGGTAACCATAGCAACAGTAAACTAGAGGCTGGAGAAATAAAACTGAAACTGAAAAGATGTCATATATTTTCTCTTTCTCTATGATTTCAGAGATTCTTGGTTTTGTTGTGGAGGGTAGAGAAGTTTTAATTTTTGGAATAAATCCACCTTGTTTGTGGATTTTTCTTCAGCTTTGATTTCAGTCATATGGTCTATCAAATATTTCCAAGATTAAATAAATTAATTTAAAAAAATCATAAGTCACAGATGCTGCTGTGTTTGGACTATCTTTCCATTTGACAATAAGCCACAAAATAAATTGGCAAAAGAAACCCAAATGGGATATACATTAAACATGTGTGTGATTTGAAAGTCAACTTAAGGTTTTTCATTAGAATATCATTATCATATCATTTGAAATGTTTACATTCTGTGAATTTAACAGAGAGAGATAGAGAGACAGAGACAGAGGAGAGAGGGAGGGAGGGAGAGATGGAAAATAAACATGCATGTTGGTTATTGATATGGAAATACCACATAATTTATGAAATGGACACTTCTTTCTGTGCAGTCATGCATGGTTTATGTGGGGACTGTTAAATGGGCGTAGACACAGCCAGATTTAGTAGAAATCACTGGCATGAATTTAGAGCTTAAGACAGAGCTATAAATCCCACAAGACACCCCATTAGAAGCTGTGTCTTGCTTACCCAGTGCATTTAATTCTTTAAGGTAATTATCATGTGAGCAATTTTTCTCAGAATGAAGGAGTCCTCCTCCCGTCCCTACAAGTTGGCTTTTCCAGCAATAGAACAAAACCAAATACATATAGGTTTCACTGGCCATGCTGGAGACCTATGCAGGCGTATGCCTGCTGTCATGTACATGTATCCATTTTAAAACCCCATTTTTCCCCATTTGGAGTTTACCAGCATCCACAGCAAACTGTGGGATGCAGTGTCTATTAGTTACCACTACCTTGGATACATGACAGTCAGCCCCAGCCAGATTCTGCTTGTCTTCAAGAAGTTGGCAAACATCCTCCCGTGCAAGAAGCATTGCCCAGTGCAGTATCTGTGACTGTTAGTACATCTGCCCCTGACACATGGCGTTGGACCAGGTAGCTACTCTCTCTCCGTCATGCTCTCTCCTGTGTACAGAAGCCTGTCGTTGTATTACATTGGAAACCACCTTGTTTCATTTCTTTTTTAATGTGATGATCAGACTTTCTCTTTTCTACAGAGCCTGAGCAAAGTCTGGATCAGGATTGGCTGTCATGTCTGCCATAAAAGGCACTAAAGAGACTTCAGCAAGTATTGTCCCATCCTGAGTGTCCCCAGTGGTGCTTTACTCTGTGCTATTCCTGCTTTCATGCCTTCATCCTCTAGGGTACTGAGAATGCACAAATCATCTCTTCTTGAGGGACGCCATTTTGAAATATATCACATAAAATTAAGAATTAAAAAAATTAACAAAATTATACAGTCTTTTTAAAACAATGCAAAGGAGAGAAATTCCATTCATACCATCTAATGAGAGCTTAAAATGCAATTCCTTTAGGATGCTACATTTCGCCCTAAATTTTAGAGAATTTCTTTTAAAATTAAAAATATGTATTTTAAAGTTGAAAAATACAAATTTATATTTCCATGCCAAATGGTGGTTCATCTGTAAGTACTTTTCTTCTTCCGTGCAAAACAGAATTATATGTGCGTACAGATAAGTTGGTAGCTATATTTTCATAAATGCAGCAAAATAACATAAGGATAAACTGATAACGGAAAATCTGTACCTATGAGCCAAGAAAAAAAATGTATCTTTAATGTGATATTTATCTCTTATGGCTATTTTATAAGATAATGGTGTTTTAATGGCAGCTAACTAAAGATCTAAAATAATATCATATTGCCACAAGGCTGCTAGATCAACTAAGCACAAAGATACAAAGAAACCTGGGGCTGTAAGTGTACAAACGCACAGGCACATAAGTCCTTAAACCACAAAACGAAAACAACAGCATCAGATTATTCTGCTAAATCCTTGGAGGCAATTTAATGGAAACGGTTACAAATTTGTGTAATGTTATACACCGAAATTCAAACAAACAAAAGAGGGAATGCAAACTATAGTCAAAGCATTTGTCTCCTCGGAGGGAACCAAGCCCTTCAGAGACACTGAGTATTAAAAGGATATTTCTGTATTCAAAGCCCAGACACTCTGCCAGCCTGCATCTCCTTATCACCGGCTTTGAGCTGGTTTTGATTCCATGAGCAATGTGTGTGTCGGCTTGTCGATTAAACCTGAGCATAAACTCATTCATTTGCAGACTAGTAAACCCCAAATTTTCTTTCCATCTCACACCATTAGTACCGACACGATGTCAAGGCACCCAACTCGTCTAAAGAAAGAATCCTCAAAACTCTTTGTCCAATCCCCTAACACTCAAACATTTTGGCTCTCTGGGATTTTCAATGGGAGTTCTGCCGTGACTTCAGGTTCATAGCAGTAATGCCGAGCACATCACCAAGGGCAGGTTACAGGCAAATGAACGACTAACTGAAATGCAGTCAGGAATCAGTTTAACTGATGTGAACTCAGCTGCACTTGTGGTCCCTGCCAGCTGGATTGCTTGGGATATAGGCAGCTAAACTCAAAGATGAGCAAGGCTCATCAGGACGTCTGACTGACAGAACCAAGGGAGAGAGGACGGTTTTCTTAGGAAACACATATTTAATATCTCCATGCTATCTTTTAAAAACAACAGCAGCCTGAATGGTAACTAAAACAAGTATTCCTACCAGGCATGAAATCTCTCCACATGGGAAAACAGCCAGCTTCCGAGCCAATTATTTAAGGACAATATGCTTTTGAAAAAATGTATTTTATTTCAGCCAAATAAGACTGCAAATTAGAGGAAAAAAAACATATTGTTTCCTTAAGAGTAACCTGAAACAAAAAGTGAATCACCCACAAATAAGTGTGTCTAAGCTTCATTTCCCATTAGCTGAGAATTTCCAATCTTTTTTTTTTTAGAGTGGCATGTTATAACTGGGATGATCTGTAACCTTTTGAAAGTTTCTCACATAGCTTAACCTTAAATAAAAAGAAGTCATTACCATTCTCATCATTATATAAAAACCTAGAATATTTTACTTCACTCTAAATAATGCATTAGGCAGTAAAAAGATCAGAAGTCTTAAATAAATTCTTCACTTCTAAGCAATTAAGTCCATTTCAGACAGTCTATCTTGGGGGCGAAAAGCATCTCAAGACCATCAGCTCTGACTGCTTACATTGTAAGCAGAAGTAACAACTAATAATAATAATAATAAGTAAAACTTAAGAAAGAGATCACTTGGATTTTGTTCCATTTCTAGAAAACACATTCATTTCATCCTCATGCAAGACAGGCTTTGAAGAAGTCCTCCCACTTAGAATAGGACCTGCGTGAGTCTCCGTTTGCTTACTGACTTGGTGTAACTCCCTAACTCTGATGCTGCTGTCACAGGATCAGAGCTGATGCCCAAAGCTCTATCGACCAGAATAGTTGGAGGAATATGGTGGTTTTTCACCCTAATCATCATTTCATCCTACACTGCCAACCTGGCTGCCTTCTTGACAGTAGAGAGGATGGAATCTCCCATCGATTCCGCTGACGATCTGGCGAAACAAACGAAGATAGAATACGGAGCAGTCAGAGACGGCTCAACAATGACCTTCTTCAAGGTAAGAACTTGGCAAAGCCTTCTTAGGGCTTATCTCATCTTGGCATGATGGTGGAGAAAAACAAAAGCCTCTTCAACTAGAGAAAAGATATTGGACAATGTTTCTAATGAAATGAATTTTTAATGTCAAAATCTCATGATACGGAAGTACATCCTCACCATAGTGATATTCTTCAGTCACTCCTTCAATCCATATTTTGTTTGTCTGTTTACTTATCTGGTTTTTGTTTTCTAAAGTGGCCTCAAACACAGTATGTAACTAAGCCCAGCCTTGAACTCATGATCCTCTTGCCTTCACCTTTCAAATCTCACCACACTGAGCCCAATCAGCAATTTAACACACTCAAATCTATAGATTAATATTCCCCTGGCCTTAATTTTTACATGTATTTATTTACTGTGCATCTGACTGTCTACACACACCATGGCACACATGTGGTAGCCAGAGAAGAACTTGTAGGAGTCGGTTTTCTCAGGTCTCTGGGTTTCAGAGACTGAATTTGGGTCTTCAGACTTGGCAGCCAGTGTCCTTACATAGATCACCTCACACCTCATTGCTCCTTCTCTGGCCTTTATATTTGGGTAACAATACTTCCTGGATGTAATTGAATGATGCATCCACAAAATGAAGATTTAAATAACATTATTTTATTTTCTGTTTGATACTTACAAGATAAAGCATGTGACCAAAAAATGTTGATATTGGAACTAAATTGTAGAATTAAATTAAAAACATCCCAGGGAGCTAGCCACATCTACAGCTTTCCAGGAACCATAAATGTTTTATCGGCATCAAAGAAGAATGATGCCAACCTGCTTTGAGCTTTATAATCAAGTCTATTTTACTGTCCAGGTCTTTTTAATTAGTGATAACAATAATGGAACTGATTTTCACCTTGCTTATGAAGTAAGCTTTGGTATTTTTATTATCAAATCTCGGGAATTATAACTCCCATAAAATGAATTCTAGTAGACCCCGTAGGTTTAGTAATCATGAGGTGTGGCTCTTTGCTTTATGATGTAGGAGACAAGAGTTCCAGAAGCTAGCAGAACCCCTTGTGCAGTCATTAGTCGGGTCTTTTCCAGCACAGGGGCTTCAACCTTCTGTCAAGAAACACTGATGGACTCAGAAATACAAGTGTAAACTCATCCAGTATCCCATCTCAACACAGTTAGAATTGGTTGCCAACAAGAAAAAAGAAAAATAACAATAAATGTTGACAGGGGTAAAGAGAAAAGAGGGACTCTTACTCACTTCTGGTGAGAGTGAAAAATAATATAGCCATTCTGGAAATCAGAACATAGGTGTCTCAAAAAATTAAACAGAACTACCATGTTCCACCACCCCCACTGTACCACTCCTGAGCATATACCCCAAAATTCTCTACAACCTAATGCAGACGTACCAGGACACCCACACTCAAGATAGCTCTCTTCATAATGGCAAAGGAATGGACCAGCCTGGATATCCATCGACAGAGGAACGGATGGTGACATGCGGTGCATACATGCAGAGGAATTTCATTTGGCTTGAAAGAGAAATGAAATCATGATGTTTGTGGGAAAATGGTTAGAGCTGGGAAGGAAGAAAACAGATTTTGAACACAGCAATGGAATACTGACTGTCATATGTGCTCCTAGCTCAGAATGTCTGTATGTGTATGTCAGTGGACGGTCTGTGAAACCAGGAAGGATAGCAGGAGGGGAGAGAGGTATCCAGGAAGCGGAGAAGGACACTGAGGCACAAGCGACATGAAAGCAGAAGGAGGCTGGAAGTGAGGAGTAGCAGGGGGTCAGGGAGATGGAGGGAAGAGGTAGGAGAACCAGCAGAATTTATGTTTCATTTCCGGATGGAAGGGGATACTTTTCTTGCTAACCTACGTTATTTAAAAAAAAAATAGTGAAAATAAAAGTTGGTGATAGAGGGAAATGAGCGTGAATAAACAGAAACCTTTGCGACCAGACCAAACCCTGAAGGCCCCTCTGCGAAGGTCACACTCAGAGTCTTACAGATGTAGATGTCAGTCCAAGCTGAGTGGACTTGTGAGGTCTACTAACTGAGAAACAAAAATGCCAGAGAGACAAAGTGGGCGAGTCACTGTAGCGCGGTGTGCATTCACTGCCTAACCGAAGATTTTAGCAACAATTGAAATAAGAACAGAAGCCGATATGGAGTAAGCATAGCTAGAGGTTTATTAAAGACCAGACTAATATAAAAGAGTAGTAATACAATTTTCTTATATGGCAAGAAAAACATTTTTTTAAATTTATTTTCCTATTAAGAATAAAGTGACTAATTTAATCACTGTATACATCACAGAGATTATGTCTCCCTTGCAGAGTGATATTTAAAAAATAATTATTGTTTTTAAGAACAAGGCTTCCAGAGTTTCTAGAACTGTGAAGCTAACTTCATTGTGGTTCTTGCCATAAACAAGGAAAGTCACTGGTCAGGCAGATGAGACAGAGGAAAACGTACCAAAGCAAAACACGTGTATCCAAATTATGTTGCTATGCATTATCATGCAATCTTGAAGTACAGGGAAATGGGTGACTCTGGTATCCCATCTTCCCACGGTCAGAATGGGTGCCACCAAGAGAGAAGGCTGATGACAATAGGTGAGCAGATGGGACCCCAAGGACTTTCGGATGCACACTACCAATGGAGGAAGGCTGCTGTGAACAGTAGACCTGACCTAACTTTACCCAAACTAGGTCAAACCCCAGAGAGTGCTAGGAAGTTTGTTCCTCAAGGGCGGAGACCTAGTCTTTTGTTTTATGGTTACATCTCCAGAACGCAGTCTAGTGACTGGTACACAGCAGGTATTCTGAAAATACATATAAGGTACAAACTAGTGACTGGTACAGAGTAGGTACTTAGAAAACATGTTCATGGTAAATAAGTAAATATGTAAGCAAATTCTTCAAAAGAAATGAGAGACAGAGACAACACACACACACACATGCACACACATGCAAACCACACACACACACACACACACACACACACACAAGATAGGTGGCTAGAAACACTGACCTACAGAAGAGTCCCTGTCTGCCAGTGCCTTCACTTTACACATCAGCCTGTGGCCGAGGAACTGTTTATCAAGAAGGAATTTATTTGCAAAGGAAAACAAGGACTGAATCTGATTTTGCGTTCCCCTTGAGGGAAGCAAGCCGTCAGACAGCTTCAGAGTGTGCACATTCTCTAGAAGGGAAAGAACTATTCCAGCCTCTTAGCCGTCTGGGTGGTTTCATCCAGAGCCCAGTCTCTGAGTGGCAGTAGTTACAAGCACAAGGCATCAGTCCTATCAGTCACTCTTACTGTGCCTTCTGGCCTCCCTTCTCCCTGCCTTTACCTCTTAAGTGAAAGCAAGAACCTCTTCTGAGTGGTAGGATTTGGTCTGCCCTAGCTGGTGGTTGGAGCAGCAGCAGAGAGACCACGCAATCACGAAAAAGACATTTTCACATCTCACTGCAGTGCAATGAATGTCTTTTTCCCAGAAGAGAACAGCCTTCTGCAGCACCCCAGTGATTACAACCTGTCCCTTTATTTCCAAGGTTGATTCAAATCATTCCAGAATAAAGAATGGGCAGTTGTAAGGGTCACAGTTATTAACAAAATCTACAACCAGACAAAACACACTGGTGCCTCACAATTTTCTCCAGGCTGTAAGCAAGGGTTTTAAGTATTTTACATTTATGTATTTATTTATTTACTTATTTATTTATTTAGTGTGTGTGTGTGTGTGTGTGTGTGTGTGTGTGTGTGTGTGTACGTACATGCATGCTATGGAGAATGTGGAGGTCAGAGGACAGCCTACTGGAGTTATCTCCTCTTCTCTCTCCATGTGGGTCCCAGAGATCAAAGTCAGATTATCAGGTTGATGACAAGTATCTTTGCCCTCTGAGCCATCTCACTAGCCCATAATGACTCTATTTCTACAATAGCAATTAAAATAAAAGCAACTTATAACAATTTAATATCAAAAGCTTTCCAAATAATATTGCTGCCAAGCCCTATTCTCAAGGGATGTTTTCACTAAAGTGTTGTCTTCAAAATGTGGCCGAAAATTGCTTGCAAAAATTTAAATAAATTCCCATTGACATTTTCTTCTAGACTTTGTTGTTCTTACAAATAGCATAATATCTTACATTCTAGAATGTCTGTATTCAATTCTCATTTTTTTTAAAACTCAACATATTTTTTGTTGCTAAAATCGTCCAAATGAGTTTATCTGTTCCCTTATCTGGATTCAGGTAAAGTATGGGTTTTCTAAAGATGTATAATTTTAGTGTGTGTGTTCATGAGTCTCTGCGCTTGTGTATGTGTGTGCATGAGTAAAAATGCCCATAGGAGCAAAAAGATTGTGGTATAGCATCCTCTGGATCTAGAATTACTCAGCTGCCCAATGTGGGTGCTGAGAACTTAACTCAGATTATCTGAGCAAGAAGTGTTCGACGTGCAGAGTCATCTTTTCAGTCCCCCAGCTGATGTTTTTTAAGCAAAATCTGGGCCATGTATATGTCTGAGATGAGGGAGGTGTCTCTATTTATCTCTCATTGTGTCATTTGTCTGTGGAAACACACTGGTCATCAAAGACTAGGCATACCGGGGAGAAGGAGGGAGGGGGATGGAAACACGGCATACATTTCCCAAATTTTAGATAGCTTTAAATAGACATCCTGATATTCTAGAAATATAGCATTGCCCACAAGGAAAATAGAAACTATATTTTTTTTGGTCAAGGTCTGGGAATTAATGATACTTACTATATACTATACTTTTACAAGTTCGTGGGCACTCCGAGTCTTAAAGTTTTAATCAGCATGGATCATATAACAGTCTGTTTGATCAAAGTGTGACATTCATCACAAGGACAATTAGCAAGTCATGGTTAGGGAAAGGCCAAGTTCTTCACCAGCTGTCCTGGTACTGCTGAGTTTGATTAGGAAATTAGGTGTCTGCTTATCAAGACTTTATTTATAACAAAAATTTTG